AAGCCTGGGCGCATGTGACTGCAACAGCACGTGGCAGCACGTGGCAGGTGGTGGAGATGGGGCCAGACTTGGCGCAAAACTCCAGTCGCTCCACGAGCCGCATCACATCCGAAGCCTTGGCGCTGAAGCCGGCGCCCAAAGCCGCGGCCGCGCCCGCTCCGAAGTCAGAGCCAACGGAGCTCGAGGCAACGGAGCTCGAGGCTGGGTACCGAAGTGTGGTGGCATGGGGCGACCCGCGAGAAAGGAACAGTTGGAGAAGGGAAGGGCAAACCTTGCAGGAAAATGATCTCTGCAGTCTATAAACATTTCTATGACTCTACGATTCTTGTGGCAGAATGTCCATGCCTGTGTCAGTTTAGTGGGGACAAATCATATTGCCTTCCATTTGTCTGCCAGTGCTTGGTGCCTTGGGCCGGCTGGTTTCGGTTCTGTCTCCCACTCGTCATGCTCTTTGTCACCCATTTGTTCCGCCTTTGTTGGTGCCTTTCGGCGGTTTTGGTTTTGTTTGCCACCTGTTGAGCAACAAAAAACTTTGAGTGTTGAAAGGCTCTGGTGTCACGAATAATCAAATTCTCAAAGGAATCGTTCCTGTCGTTTTCTTGGCAAATCGCTGGCCCAGCAGACCAGTTTTGATTGAAGCCATTCCCTGGGAAGTAAAGTGAACTGCTCGAGTCCCTCAGAGCAGTTTTTTTTGTGTCGGCGCAGCATGTGAGGCCGCTAAGATCAAGCAGGCTTGTGTGTAGCTGAGCTGGCCCGCTGGCAGCGCAAAACCTGATCTATCTAATCTTCAACTGGAGAGCTGTAGGATTTGGCAAAGTTCATGCGACAGTTATAGGATGCTAAAGGGGTAATGGAAGGGGGCGAACATGCCTTCCTAGTCTTTTGTAAAGGGTTAGATCCTTCCCTGTCCTCTTATAGAGCTCCCTAGCAGTGCTAGCATTAAGAATATTAAGGGGCCCCAAGGAATGCCAAAAGGTCAACCCTAAAGAAGTCCCCAGCACGCCTTCCGGTGTACGTGGGGGCTGGCTTTGCTTATTGGTTTTGACTGCATCCAGATGTGATGCGTTTGGTCTATGACCAAAATCTCATCCCAAAGGGAATCCTTGTTGGGCAAGAGTGTGATGCCGCTTTCGATGTTCATCTCCCTACTGGTAGCAGCCTCCCAAAGAAAGAAACAGGGTTGAATGGGTGGAGCGTAAAGAACATCTGTTGCATGAACAGGTCAAACTGGATGATTCATTGTTTTGCAATACATCCCTGAATCCTACTACTGTACTTTCCCTTCTCATCCTTGCCCACAGAACCTCCTGGTCTTAACAGGCATTTCATGGAGGGTTCAGAACCGATTACTTTGCTGGCCACCAATGCAGGGAGACGAAGGTCACTGCAAGTGGGCCGGCTTTTTCAAAGCAGCAAGCTCCACGTCCTCGTTTGATGATCAGGTCATTTTCAGAAACATGTTTAAGGCCCGAAACCAGACCAGGCCTTTCCGGTTGGACTTCTCATGGTGAATGTGGGTATGTCTCAAAATTAGCCCAAATAGCGATTTGGATGTAGGGAAAATGATGATTCCAACCATTGGATTTGCGAGTCCCCAATTTGGAGACAAACCCATGTGATGCGCACATGATGCCAAACTATCAGTGGTCCTGTGGCTTCAAATTGTTGATGCGGACGAACTCATAGATGACCTGAGCGTTGCTGGAACGTCGAAGTCTTTGAAAACATTGCTTCCCTAACGCTCCCGATGGACCTTCGGTGTCACTGCGACCGGGGTGTGAAAAGAAACGGATAGATCAGCACTGAAGCCGCATGAGGGGTCACGATCAATTACAAAACCTTGACCCATCCTAGAGAGGCTCCCTTGCCTGAAATTTTGATTTCAGAAAGGTACGTATATGTTGATTTCTCAAAAGATTGGAAAGAATCACTCCTCAGCAGGCGGTTCCCCCTATTTTTCTGAAAGCATTTTGTACAAGAAAATGAACAGACAATCGAAACCGCTAAGAATCGAAAAGGCTCACAGAGCCCCCGCGACTAGATCCCCCGCGTATTACCCACAAAGAGTCCCTAATGTAAGAAGGAAACAATTCCAACTTTTTGGATCCGGTTTTTTGAAGGCAGAGCACCCGAACGCGACAAATCCACACACTGAAAAAGAGCGCCCCAAGCGACCAATTCCAGCCATTTCACATTGCCATTCCAAGGCCTCACTTTGTCATTAAAGAGCGGAGCAGTGCCTGGCTCAGCATGCGAAGGATCCATGAAGTGCTTTGGTGTCCTTTTTCCCTTGGCTGATCAAATTGGCTGATCTAACAAGCAGGATGGAAATGCTACTGCGAAGAACCCGAAACAACATTTCTCTCAATTTTGGACCCTGTCAAAAACGAGATTTCAAAAAAAAAATCACCTTTGCGAGGCCAGGCGTGAGCGTCTTCGGTGCATTGCATTGCATGTCGTGCAGTAGCTGTCTCCTGTCAGCTAAGATTTTGCACATGCAGATATACATGCTGCATCTGGGCTCAAGTTGCATGTTGGTGCAACAAGTGCGCTTGCCGCATTCTTGGCCAGTCAATCGAACCCTCATTGGTGCAGAATGAACACATTTTCCCCAAGGGTTGGCCTCACGGTGCTGTTTGCCTTCGCATTTCTCGGGCCGAGTGCCGGGCAGGAGAACGGCTTGCCGAATGGCACGTGCTTCGAGGATGCCATAAAGGAGGAACTGCGCAAGAACCTGACAAACATGGAGGGAGAGTCGGTCCCAGTGACTTTCTTGTTGGCAGGATGGAGCTCTGCCCAAGTGACGAGTTCAGTGATCGAGATTTTGATCTCCGAGATTCTGGGATACGTCATTGCTCTTGAACCACGAGTACCTGCTTCGAGTTTGGATTCCGTCTATTCCATGCTGGGCTGCGCAACCTGGTGGAATTCCACCAGTCGTGGATGTGAGACCAGGAAGGCCAAACATCATATGATGATCGACAGTTGGTATCGTAGCTTCAGCCACGTCATCAACAGCTTGGCAGAGATCTACATGGCATCTTGGCTGAGCCAACATGGAACTTTAAAACTCTGGGGGAAACAAAATAAACAAAGATAACAAAGGCAAAAAAAAAACAGATCATCCAACTGGTCTTAGCAAAACCTAAAGTGAGGCTATAGCAAGGCTGAAATTTCTTCCCACCAAGGAAGAGATGCCCATCAACGCGGGCGATATGGGATATCCAGGCGAGACGGGCGGATACCTCCCAGCCGCTGCCGTCAACGAAGCCAGAAATGCCTCGGGCCTGGCATTGGAGTACTATGCAAACTTGGACGCCTCGTGGTTCACCCCGTGGCAGTACTTCACAAATGTGGCCACTGCAACTTGCCACAAAGGTAAAGCGCCATGTACAGCCAATGTGCTAAAGTTTACCCCTGCCAGAAATAGATAAATAATAGTAAATATAGCTTCTATACACCATTCGAAATGAGGTGGTTAATTATTGGGCTTCCGCCATTCTTGGGCTGTCGGGGCTGTCGCAGTAGTCGGATGTAGTCGGGCATGTTGGGATGATTGGAATCAAACAGCTAATGATCATGCCTTGATCGGCATTTCTTGAGTCACTGAGAGTCGGTCTTTACTATTTGTGACGTACTCAAAGCTCATGTTGCCAGGTCAACACATCAGACCTTATGACATGCAGCGATAGCTTGTTGACAGACAACTCCAGCGCCTACCACTACTTTGCAAAAAGTGGAGATGCTGGTGGAGTGGACATCACCACGGACGGAGAAGGAGTCAAGACTTACAAATATGTTTGTCAGGACGGGTGGGAGCATTCCTGGGATGATAAACTTGTTGGAATGCGTTTAGAGTTATCGCAAGCGGTGAGATTGATTACCATAAAAGACACCATGTTCGAAGAACAGCTGTCCAGGACGGCTACTTTTGGCTGTCCAGTGCCTGTAGAAGTGATCTGACCAAGTGTGTTCCGTTTATCACGGGCGGTGGTGGCTGGGATGTGCTGACCACGACTCAGCAGGCTGCAGCCTACAATATGCCACTCGCGCTTGGAGTGGCTGCTACATGGAGCAAATTCTTGGAAGTGCCCAAGAAGTACAAGACCATGTTCTATTGGTGGACTCCGGATAGTGCTTTTCTTGAAATGCAGCCATCCAAGCTCGTCCTTCCTCCCTTCAACGCATATGCTTGGTCTCAGTCTGACTACACCACAGCAGCTTCAGCTATTCCTGTGGCCAAAATCGCAACCAAAGACTTGCAAGCCATGGCACCTGATATAATCAAGCTCTTGGAAGCCAGTTTGTTTGACTTGGAGGCAGTCGACAGCATGATGCTCAACATGAAATCCAACTCAGTGACCAGGGAGCAGGCTGCCTGTGATTGGTTGAAAGGCAACACAGATCGGTGGAAATCGTGGATCCCGAAAGCCACGAAGTGCAACCCCGGCTTTGGGCTTTACGACGATGCCACGGACACTTTCACTGCCGAGCGCGCAACCGCCACGACGTGTAGGGCTTGCCTTCCAGGGATGTTCTCGAAGGCACTGGGGGGAGGGAGCATTTTGGGCCAGGAGACCTATCACAGAGACTCCGAAAAAGTCGAAAATAACGGCACGTTACATGGGAAAAGCTGTGGTGACACAGGAATCGGAAGTAATACCAGCAGAGTTGGGGCGATCGACAATTATTTTCCTGGGTCTGTTCGACTGTTCATTTTGAACTGACTGAGTAGGGCTGACATGGGCTGACTGACTTGGGAATCTTGTAGTGATTGTGTGGTCAAACCAGAAAATATCGTAGCAATGGTAGAAGCATCCATGTGGATCTTGTGATACGAGGTATTCTGGGAGTTCTACAATTTGAGGGTGTCCATGTCCGCTATATGTAACTGCTATCATGTGCCTTCGGTTTGGTCTAACTCAAAAAGATTGAAACCCACGGGGTGGAGAAATCAAAGATCTCCGTGAATTCTGAGTTCTTCGGAGTCCGGTGTGAGTCATTGCAGGCCTTTATGGATGACGATGGCAGCACGTACATTTGTGAAGCTTGTCCTGCGGGCCAACAGCAGCTTGGAGCCGGTGCAATGGATTGTGATGCTTGTCCTGCGGGCACAGCGAAAGCAGACCAATCTACCGAGGAGTGCGCACCATGTGCTGCAGGTGGGTATTTCTCAAAACACAGACCACTTTGTACTTTAACTAGATCGTGATGATAGTGCGCGCAATCACAGGGTACCACAGCCTAGTACCTGCAACTATGAACTAGTATCTACAACTGTTAACCACTACTGACAACTATAGACCACTAATTGCAGCTATCAACTAGTATCTGCAAAACGTCTCCACAGCTATCACTAGTACCTGCAACTATCGACTGGTACACAACTCTCAACCACCACCCAGTATCTACAAGTAATTATCAACCAGTCCTTGCAACTATCAACCGCTACTTACAGCTTTCAACCACCTACAACCTTTGTACAATCCTTGTAGTATCTTCAACGATGATCCACTACCTACACTTATCAGCCAACATTTGCAACTATCAATGGGCATCTATGACTATTACCATCATTGAACACTGGTGTTGGTACGCTCTCAAGTAGAGTTTGGGGCTTGTCACGGAAGCAGACGTAGAGCCGCGTCTCGCAGGGTAGAGATGATGAGTAGAGTACTGTGACATACTGTGACATACTGTGACGCCCACGGAACATTTTGACAAACATCGCGAGTGAAATCAAAGCAAAAAGAGATGCCAGTAGTCACCATTAGCGATTTCACAAGAATATAGAGCACCTTGCACAATATCCACTGAAATTGGATATGAATTCCGGTTCTGTGATGTAGACAAAGTGCTACAATGTCCTACAAGTACCAATCAGATGCCCACCAGGCAAGAATTCATGATTTTTCTGGTATCTTCAGCCGTCCAGGTGAATACCAGGATGAGAAGGGAGCTCTTCAGTGCAAGATGTGCCCGCCAGGCACCACTACGATGATTTTGGGCATGAAATCAATCTCAGGACAGGTTTGGGCGATGATTTCTGTCGATTTTCTCATGTCCCTGTCATCGAGTCATCGTGTTTTTGCTGCTCAAAGTTTCAGCGATTTCAAGAAAGTTCCTTCAGGCTTCAGGCTCAGGTTCTTGAATCTTTCAAGAATCCAGCCAAATAAATCTGACTTGTCATGCTCGGAATCGGGACATCATGGGATCGCTTTGCATTTCTATCACGAGTTGTTGGCTTTCCGGTTGTGGACCCCAGGTCTGCCAGGTCACCCAAAATATCCCAAAATCTCAAGCCAAACATAGCCAAAGCATGGAGCTGAAACTTCAAGATCACGGAACTGGGGCCGTGCCGTTGTTGGATCGTGGTGTCACACCGAACCTGGGGGTCCTGAGGATGTGGTTGCCAGGCTGGCTCCATCGATGTCTCCGATCTCAATTCTCCAGATCGGCTTGCCGCTAATTGCATTGATTGTAGCGAAGGCTTGACCTGTCCGATGATGTCGACAGTGCCGGCGCTCCTTGCTGGGAGCAGTCCGAATGGTGCGGCTTTTACGCCCGTGGTGAAAAGCGGATGCTTGGTGAAGTTTCAGGGAAGTTGTTCGATATGATGAATGCCCAATAACTTGTGTTTTTGTTTTCCAAGTCGCTATGAGCAAGGGTCAAAAGATGGTATGTAGAGATGTAGTATTTGGCCGCCGTCATTTTCAAAAATGTGTGATTTCCTGTGGGGAGCGATAGGGAGCCTTGAAGTGCGATACCCCCTTAAGTGGTGCAAATTTGTTGCCATGGCACTTCCAGCTCCTCATCCACTTCCAGCTCCTCTTCCACCAGCTCCTCTTCCACCAGCTCCTCCAACCACTACTATACTACTACTACTACTACTCCTCCTCCTCCTACTACTACTACTACTATTACTACTACTACTACTACTACCACTACTACCACTACCACTACCACTACCACTACCACTACTACTACTACTGCTACTACTAATACTTCTATTACTCCTACTACTGCTACTACTATTGCCACTACTGCTGCTGCTACTACTACTACAACAACAACTACTGCTACTGCTACTGCTACTGCTACTACGACGACGACTACTACGACGACGACTACAACGACGACGACTACAACGACTACTACGACTACTACGACTACTACGACTACTACGACTACTACTACTACTACGACGACGACGACTACTACTACTACTACTACTACTACTACTTAATACTACTACTACGACGACGACGACTACTACTATACTACTACTACTACTACTACCACCACCACCACCACCACTACTACTACTACTACGACGACTCCCACTACGACTACTACTACTACTGCTACTACTACTACTACCACCACTACTACCACTACTACCACTACTACAACTACTACTACTACCACCACCACTACTACTACTACCACCACTACTACTACTACTACTACCACTACTACTACCACCACCACCACTACTAC